CCAGGGTGCCCACCAGTATTCCCTCTAAACTGAGTTAGTGTGAGCTAGCTCACAGTTTTTTAGGCTCCGGCTCACACATTTTTGCCTCAGCTCCAGAGCAAACTAATTTATGCAGTAGCCAAATTGCCCACTCAACAACTTCAATGCCAGGAGCTCACAAAGTAGAATTTGGCTCACAAGACTCCACAGTTTAGAGGGAGCATTGGTGCCCACTACTTTAACCTTGTCAACCAGTTCTTCCCTGTTGGTAAGTGTGACGAAATGGCTGCCAGGCCTTAAAATGGATGCCAGCCTGGTAGTTCCTTACGTGTGGGGGGGTACTCCATAGGGAGCAATGGAGCTGCCGTACCTCCCTGCCTACAGTTCCCAGCAGCCTTGAGGAAAAAGAGCGGGAAAAGTTGACACACCCCAGGGGGCGGGGCCAAGGAGATAAAGGTTTTGGCTCCTGAGGGGAGAGTCAGTCTCCGCTTAGTCTTCAGCCTGATCTTCAGCCTTTGGCTTAGTGTGGACCAGAGCGTCAAGGGAGTGGACAAGTGGGGGCTCCCGTCACCTCAGACTCTGTGGGCAATCCAGGCCACCGTAAATCGTGGTGGGGAGCCCAGGAGGGTGGCAGTACTGGGGACCAGTCCAGGGAAGGGCTGCAGTTTCCCTCCAACCACGAGGAGGGAGAAAGCAATTCCTGGCCTGAGGCCACAAGCCACTACAGAGGAAGAGAGGGTGTGTGTAGGGGCAGAGGACTTGCGTTTCAATCCTGTTTTATTTCTGTGCCCAGGTTATGTTGAAGTCCCTGTGTTTATTTTCATGCCTAACCTGTATACAGTTAAATAAATCTTCCTTTTTGAGTTTAAAAAGCCTCGTGTGCCTTAACCACATAGTCCTCCCCACTCTGCACATTACCAAGGGCAAAGGGAGGCCAGGGAACACAAACGGGCCCAAATTGGAGACGTTGCCAATTCTCCAGGGGGCGCCCAAAGATTGAGGTACCCATTTCCCAAGGTGGGGAAATTAGCCAGAGGGGTCTCACTGTACCTCTAGGAAGGCGGTGTCAATTCAGTGAGTGGTGGCAGCATTTAATGGAGAGAAATAGCCCCACCAATTAGGGTGGGAAGGCCAAAACAGGGGCTCGCGAGCCACAGGACGGCACCTCAGTCTCCCAGGGCTGAGGGCAGGTCCCTGTTTCACCATAGTAAGAATCAATTCTAAGGTAGCAGATCCCCTTGTTTCCCTTTCCACTTTCTAGAAAATTAAGCTGTCAACAAGACAAGTCAGGAATTTATTGGACCTTTCATTTTTTGCAGAGTTGGACTTCCAACAAATATCTGGGTGATTGAAATCTCCCATGACCACCATGTCCCATCTCTTTGAGATCTTCGTAATCTGTTCTAGGAATGTCTCATCCAAGTTCTCTGCCTGGCTTGGTGGTCTATAGCTGACCCCCACCAAAATATCTATTATTTCTTACTCCTTTTATTTTTACCCAGAGACTCTCAACTGGACTTCCATGCTCAGATTCATGTATTTCTTGACAAGCGGGGCTTTTTTTGTAGAAAAAGCAGAGCAGGAACTCATTAGCATAACAGGCCACACCCAACAGCAGAAACACATTAGCATATTAGGCCACACCCCTGACAGGGCACCTCATTAGCATATTAGGCCACACCCCAAATTACCAGAGGTGTGGTCATCCAGCCACACTCGCCTTTTGCTTCTTATTCTGTTTACCTTGTTTGTTGTCAAAACCCAGGGCTTTTTTTTTGTAGCAGGAACCCTTTGCATGTTAGGCCACACACCCCTAATGTCCTGGTGAGTTTCTGCTGTTGGGTGTGGCCTGTTATGCTAACGAGTTCCTGCTGGGTGTGGCCAACTCGGGAGCCAGCCGGAACTCCGTTCCTGTGCGTTCCTGCCCAAAAATAGCCCTGTTGACAAGTATATACCTCCTTAAGCTGCGGTACATACCTTAATATACCTTAAGCTGCGGTGGCTCAAGTGGTTAAGACGCTGAACTGCAGGCTGTGGAAGGTCAGTAGTTCAGCAGTTCAAGACCCAAGTTGCCGCCAGCTCCTGCCAATCTAGCAGTTCGAAAGCAAGAAATTGCAAGTAGATAAATAGGTACCACTTCGGTGGGAAGGTAACAGCGTTCCGTGCGCCTTGGTGTTTAGTCATGCCAGCCACATGACCACGGAAACGTCTTCAAACAGCACTGGCTCTTTGGCTGTGAAACGGAGATGAGCACTGCAACCCTAGAGTCGGACTCGACTGGCTTTCGAGCAAGGGAACCTTTACCTTTACCTATATACCTCCTTTACATATAATGCTACTCCTCTGCCCTTCCTTATTTGTCTGTCTCTTTTAAATTAGTTGTACCCCATAGTCCTGATATTCCAATTGTGAGTGTCATCCCACCAAGTTTCAATAATGCCTATTAGGTCATAGTCCCCTTCCTGTATTAGGACTTCAAGTTCCTCCTGCTTGTTTCCCATACTCTGCACATTAGTGTAGAGACATCGGAATCCATGTTTTATGCACCCTGATGTTTTTGTTTCTGTATTTACCTATGAGTTAATGATACATAGCATATGTGCCATTCCCTGCAAAACGTTAGCGTTCTTATCTCCAGTTATTGGCATCATACTAGGCTTTGCATTTTTGTCTCACTCCCCTATAGGATTTAGTTTAAAGCCCTCCTTATTAGGTTTGCAAGGCTCTTGCCAAACACTACCCTCGTGAAGTGCAAACCATCTCCTGATAGAAGAGCTTCTTGAAAGCGTCAGCCATGGTCCAAAAATCCAAATCTTTCCTGATGACACCATATACATAGCCAGTTGTTGATTTGCAGTATTCTTCGTTCCCTTCCTAATCCAGGGCCTTCAACAGGAGGAACTGACAAAAACACAACCTGTGTTCCCAGGTCCTTCACCTTTTGACCCAAAGCCACATAGTCTCTTTTAATACATTCTGGGCTGTGCCAGGCAGTATAATTTGTTCCCATATGGATGAGCAAGAATGGATAATAATCCAGCAGTTTATCAAAAGGATTTGTAAACTCCTCTGAGTTGGAGATGTGAAAATCAAATTGGCACTTTTTTTACATATGTGATGTTACTACTGTATTGTTAGGTTGTGTGAGTGTATATGAGTATGGTTGTGTGAGCGTATATGAGTATGCTTGTAGATCACCGAATGATTGCACGTTAATTTCGTTGTGCTATGTACAATGACAATAAAGTATATCATCATCATCATCATCATCATCATCATCATCATCATCATCATGGGATTTGTTGTGCAGCAGATATAGAATTGTCTTGGCCCCACTAATCCTCCATGGATCTGTTAAGTCACAGTATAGCTGTATTGCCTAAGACGTTGTGGTGGCTGGTGTGGCAGTTAGAAGGGGCAGGCAGAATGCTCTTTACTCAAAACTGGGAACACCAAAGCTTGCCAGAGTTGGCGATCTGGTTACACAAGATGTGGTTTGTTAAGCTGATGGACAAGATACAGGGAAAAACTATTAAGACAGGTACACAGAGATTCAGTGTATTCACTGGTGGACTCCTTTTACTTAACACTGGTAACCAGGGGTCATTTTGTAGAAAAAGAGCTGCATGAGCTCATTAGCATATCTAATAGTCCATTAGCATAATGGCTCATTAGCATATGCCATGCCCCCTGACATCACCGGAAGTGATGTCAGAAGTGGAAGCCAAAGGGGGGGAGGCATATTCAAAAGCCTCCCCTTCCCCAGCTGCTTAACCAAGGCGGGCTGGGGGGGGGGAGCGAAGAGAGAAGGGGTTTAAAGTTTAAACCCCTTTTCTCTAGAGTCATCTTTCCATTACATTCTATGGGGTCATAGAATACAATGGAAAGATTGCACCGCCGCTGCGGCGCGACTCCATAGAGAAGAAGGGGTTTAAACTTTAAACCCCTTCTCTCTTCGCTCCGCCCCCCCCCCGCTCGCCTTGGGAGGCCGGCTGGGGAAGGGAAGGGGAGGGGAGGCTTTTGAAGATGCCTCCCCCTCTTTTTTTTTTTTTTTTTTTGCTTCCCCCGCCGGCCTGCTTCTGGAGGGCCCCCCCCCCCACCCTCTTCTGGCTCGCCTGCCTTGGCGGGCGAGCCAGGAAGAGCTAGGGAGAGAGGGGGAGAGATTTAAATGCCTCCCTGTGCCTTCCTCAGTTCGGGCGAGCCGAGGAAGGCTCCTAGAGGGGGCCCCCGCCCTCTCCGCAGACTGAAACGCTGGAGTTGCGCTCCGGCCCCAAATGACCCCTGCGGGTAACTGAGGCCAAGTCCTATGTGCTAAAGCAGAGCTGTGACTGGCAAACCATCTGAAGTTTGGCCAAAGGTGCCAAAACCCACCCAGGAGACTTGTGTTTCTGTCGGCACGTGGGGCTCCCCAGCAGCAGCACTCCCCAGTGGCACCTCGGCCACAGCAGGCTGGATTCTTGTTCTTATCCCGTGGTCAGCCAGACCACCTCAGTCTAGTCTGGTTTGAGCTTCAGTTTCCTGGATCCCCTGACCCAGGGCTCCCTCTAAGCTGCGGAGTCTTCTTGTGAGCAAAAATCCCACTTTGTGAGCTCCTGGCATTAAAGTTGTGAGCGAGCGATTCAGCCGCTGCATACAACTAGTTTGCTCTGGAGCCGTCCCTTCCCGAGCCCAGACAAAAATGTGTGAGACAGAGGCTAAAAAAACTGTGAGCTAGCTCACACTAGCTCAATTTAGAGGGACCACTGATGCCATCCAAGCCATTTCTCTGTACTTATGAGTAAACATGCATAGGATTAAGTTGATTCATTTTAGTGGCATAACAGCCCTATGAAATCATCGTGGCTCAAAGTGGCTCAAGGTGTGGTTTGAACCTGAGAATTCCCTCAGGTGTGCTTTCCTTACGGTGTCTTTTTCATGGGCTGTTCAGTGTAATGCAAGTTAGACGAGATTTTTTGGGGAACTGCCTAGAGTTTTACTTGCTGAACCAAACCGTGTTTTTCCTTCTTGTGTTTGTTGAACAGCCTCTCTGGTTACCCACCCTTTTCGGATCAAAATCCTCAGCAGCCTATGAGAGAGCAGATCACCCACGGCAAATACTTCTTCTGTGCGGATAAGTGGAAGCGTGTATCGAAAGAGGGTATGCTGCTGTGATTCTTCGGGGATAAAGGAGGAGAAGGCCTTTTGTTAGGTCGTTTGACTGGAGTCGTTTTGTGCATAAGTGTAATTGTAGTATTTCGTGGCCTGTATGAAAGTGAAGGTGACCATGACTTGATGTAGATGAGAATTGCTTGTGGCTGTTCTGTACTCAGCGACATTTCTGTGTCAGCCAATTTCTGCATGCAGGGCCTCTGGCAGCAAATGGACCGCCTGCTTGGCCCCGCCGGTGGCTCTTCCCTCGCAGATGCCGGGGAATCACCTCGACCCTGAGTGCCGCCGTGGGCTGAATGGTTCTGAGGGCGGTCTGGGCCTGTGTGACATCCTGGGGGTGGAGCGAGCTGTGAAGGGCGGCAGCACGAGGGCCTCTGTTTGCAGTTCTGGTGTCCTCGTGTGGGGCCTGAGCGCTCACAACTGCTGCTTGCCTCTGCAGGGAGAGCAAATAGTGATGAGTCGTTGACCAGCTGTTGTATTTTATTGCAGCCTTTGACCTAGTACAGAAGTTGCTAACAGTGGATGTTGACAAACGATTCAAAATAGCACAAGCCTTGGAACACCCGTGGCTTCAGGTACATGCTCAGGGGAACAGATGTCTCTGCTTCTTGTAAGGAAATCTTGGAGTGACGAGAGAAACGTGAGCTGAAATGTTAAGGCCCTTGTGTCCTTAAAATTCCCCACTGGAGATTTTGCTGTGGTTTGAAGGGCGAAGAAGTTCAGACACGTGGTGTGGGGAGGGGTCTTCTGACAACGGAGCCTGGGGGAAGGCAAAACCTTGGGCACCGTGTCACCACTAAGGGAACACATCACGGCCCGCCGGGTTGCTTGTTTATGTGTGGCAGTTGTATGCTCTGCCTCTCTCCTGTCACGATGAAGTGGTTATGAGCCGAGGTTGGTAACAGAGTGAAGACCGGGTTTTGGCTCTGCAGGACTGACCTTTGGCTCTCGACCAAGGGAGGCCGTGTAAGTTCTCTGTTGCTGCTCCTGCTGAAAAAAAACTTGTGTTGCCTGTTCACCACCTGCCCAAGAGGCCTGCCCCCCCCCCCAAGGGGGGAAATGTCACTGTAGTGGTAGGATCTCAAAATCTGCTTCTGAGGGTGATTCCCTTGCCCTCCCTCATAGTAGACTTGGCCCTGTTTTTGAAGTATTCGATTTCCAGCCAGGCTTTCTGTTGTTGTTGTTGTTGCCTGCTGCCTTTTGCAGCCTTCTGTTCATTTCTCCTCCTCTTGCCTGTGTTTTCTGCTCTGCACTGGAACGTGTGAGGTTGCCTTATCTAGCCAGAACAGTGACCCACCTGGCGGCACCATATTTTCTGTGCTAACGGGTGACTGTGCTACGGGATCCCCTCAGCTCTTCCCCAGCACCTTTTGACTAGAGGCACCAGGGACGGAACCTGGGCCCTTCTGCATGCAGAGCAGATGCTCCTCCTCCTCCCAGTGAGCTCTGCCTCCTTTCCCAAATAGACCCAGTTAAACCATTGCTCCATTCAGCTCATTGCATTGACTCTGGGCCACCTGTGGCTCTCCAGAGGACCATGCCCCAGCTCCTTGGTATCATTCAACTGCAGGTGGCACATGCTCCTCTGCCAGGGCCCTTCTGCCCAGCTTCCTTCCTTCCTTCCTTCCTTCCTTCCTTCCTTCCTTCCTTCCTTCCTTCCTTCCTTCCTTCCTTCCAACTGTTGCCCATGCTTCTGGAGTGTGTGTCTTATTACATGGAAGGCTGTTCTTGCATTTTAAGCATAGAAGCATTGTGTTATTTTAGATTGTGCTTTGTTGCTTGTTATCTGCTTTGTGATCCCTGCAGCTGAAAACTAGTGTGAAAAGTGTTTTGATGCTTATTCTTCATAGGATAATGGTATGAAGCAGAGATTTCAGCAGCTCCTGACACAAATGAATGACTCGGTGCTTGCACCAGAAGCTCCAACTTTGGTAGATATTTCTTTTCTTTTTTTAAAGTTATTTTTTCCTAATACTTGCACACACACAAAAAACCACTTATGGGGGGGGATTTGCAAACCAATGATCTATAAAGGTTCATAAAGAAGAGGTTGGATTCCTGCCCCCCCCCCCTTCACTTGGGAGTCTCAGAGCGGCTGACAATCTCCTTTCCCTGCCTCTCCTCACAACAGACACCCTGTGGGATAGGTCGGGATGAGAGGGCTCTGAAAGAACTGTGACTGGCCCAAGGTCACCCAGCTGGCTGCATGTGGAGGAGGAGGAGTGGGGAATCAGACCCAACTCTCCAGATTAGAGTCCGCTGCTCTTAACCACTACACAAAACTGGCTCTCTAAAAAGCCGCTACACCAGACTGGCTCTCTAGAAAGCAAACAGATGAATGTTATCACTTATTTTCTCATTCTAGAATATAATAAACAACATCCATTGTTTTATTAAATTTATCAACCATTCTAAATGTTTTCTTAATTTTTGGTGGGTATCTTCTAGTTTGCTCCTCTAACAATTCTAGCAGCAGTGAATAAGCTTAGAAATGGCTCCCTATCTGAGAGATACACCTAACCATTCAAATATTCTAATAATATTATTTTAGGTTCCAAGGGTGTATGTTCTGCTAACAAACTGAACTACAGTTTTCCAAAATCTGTGTCTTCTCCTGTCCTAGTTGGGATTTTGCACTCAACTAAAAGGAGCCAGTTCATAGCTGGTGGGGGCTGCTGGACGTGGGCCTCCTGGCAGGTAAGCAGGTGGCAGCGGTGGCCAGAACTGCCTCTCACCAGCCGTGGCCCTTCGTGGGCAGGAACGACCTCACCAGTGTGGTACATGCCCTGGTGACATCTAGGTTAGGTGACTACAATATGCTGTATGCGTGGCTGCCCTTGATTGAAGACTATCCAGGAGCTACCACTTGTACAGAATGCTGCGGCCAGAGTGTGTTGACCCGGATGGGTCACAGGGACCACATCACTCCAAGTCTTGCTCCACCTACACTGGCTCCCAGTTTGCTTCTGGGCTCAATTCAAGGTGCTGCTGTTGACAGCAGTGGGAGGGCTCCTAGCGTCCTGGCCCCATTTCTGGACCTCCCGGTGGCCCCTGGTATTTCTGGCCACTGTGTGACACAGAGTGTTGGACTGGATGGGCCTTTGGCCTGATCCAACATTGGCGTCTCTTATGTTCTTATGACCTTCAAAGCCCTGTGTGGTTTGGGGCCGACATACCTTAAGGACCACCTCCTCCCGTTTGGTCCTCTGCGGAGGTCCCGCTTTGGGTGCCCTCGCCATCTGAGGGCGGTGGCCTGAGAGGAGAGGGCCTTGGTCCTGGTGCCAGAACTGTGGGGCTCTTGCCTGCCCCAGGGAGAGGCATCTGGTGTCTCCCTCTTCATCGCCAGCAGGTGGAGAGAACATGTCTCCAACATTGAGCTTGTAGCAAACTTTAGGAGTGTAATTTTATGCAGAGTTCAATACCAATGAAAAAAATCTTGTATGTGTTTTCTTTAAGGTCAGTTGGGACTGATCTTGGAGTTACTTTCTCCCAGATCAATCCTCATTCTTCCATACTGATATTAACCTTTATATCTTTCTGGTTTTGTGGGTTTTTTGCTGTAACTTAAGGGGCTATATATATATTTGTATATACTTCTTATATGGTCTTACAATGTGGAAAAAATAGTCCTGGTCACACGTCACAGTGAACACACATACATCCTGCCTGTGTGTATATATGTCTGTTTGTAAGAAGAGCCAACACGCATTCGTTTTATGAATGAAATCAGGGATAACCACTACCTGGATAAACTTGGGGCTTGTATCACATGTTCAGTTGTACATCAGAATTACTCATCATGCAGAGAAAGAACAATCAAGTGTACACACTCTCCATGGATTGTACGTACATTCACTGTAACTTGTGAACACGGCTATTATTTTGAATAGTGATAGGTGGAATTGAGTTTGAAAAGGGGTCATGTTGATTTGCAATTAATTGATTTTCATCCTGAAAAATTTCAAGCACCATAGTCACTGGGGATTTAAGAATTTCATGACAAATTCCTTCAGATGGAGGAAGTTCAATTTTTTGTACTAGTGATCATGCCATTATTGACCTGTGGCTTGTTCAGGTGTTGTTGGAAGGGTGTTTTGGTGGAGCCCTGAAAGCAAATGATGGTTTTTCAAAGGCAGAGGGCCAAGAGAGCATATTATGCTTCAAGAAGGAGGTGCGGATGAGCATTTCCTGTAAATGACGGACACATCTCACCTTGTGTGGTCGTCATGAGTGCTGCTGCAGGGGATGTCTTTTGCTTGCTGCAGAAGGTACAGTGGAAATATTTCATTGTCCCTTGCTCTTCCAGCCATCCACAAGCAGAAAACGGCGTCATGAAAAGGAAGACACACCAAATCCTCCTAAACGTGCCTCTCAGACTCCAAGTTGAAAAAGTGGAGCAACATCTTTAACGGCAGCTGTAAATTTTTCTAGAACTTTGAAATGTATTATGTTTTTTCACATCAACCACTGATAAATAAAGAACTGCTTGCTAAGAATGTAGAGACTTGGTGAACTGTGGAAGGTTCCTGATGTTCCCTGCTGTTCACGTGGGCAGATGAACCCTTCTGTGGCTGTAACAATGGTTTTGGAGTTCTGCTGTGCTTTTGGTTTCATATCTGCACCCAGTATCCACAGATGTTCAAGTACAAACATTCCAACTGCCCCATTTTTACAAGAGACTCTGCCCTTTTCTCTTTTCTATGCACTAATACTGGCTCAAGTCTCCTAAAGATGTGAATTGTTTTTAAGGGATACCAAAAAACAATCATTGTTGAGCTTCCAATTACATATTTTCTCAGAGAGACAAATAAATGGGTATAAAATACATTCTTTCAAGTGCATTTGCTGATTTCCAACCCCACCCCCACCCCCAAACTTTCCTTACCAAAGTGCTGTGGAGTTAATTGTAAGTTAAATACTTGCACTGTTGGCAGCTTCCTTCTCCCAGCCCAGAATGATGGGGGGGGGGGGGGTGGCAGTGAAAGAGTTTTCTTGGAATGCCACACACAAACATCCTTTGCTGGTCAAGCACTGCAACGCATCCTTCCACTGTACGAGTGTCGATGTTTTTAATATTTTTTATATGTTTTAACTATGGCACGGTTAATTACCCTGCCCCTGCTAGCCGCCCTGAGCCCATCGGGGAGGGCGGGACACAAATGTGAAAAATAAATAAATAAATGTGTTGCCTTTTGAGAAGACCTCTTGGGTGCTGGCAAGGAGGAGGAAGGTGAAGAAGAAATAGCAGCTAAGAACGGGATGATATTTGTGGTCTGAAGGGACTGCAGGCTCCGACCTTGCGCCCGAAAGCTCTGCCTGGCTCCTGAACTTGGACTGTGTCTGAACCGAGGCAGGAGACTGCAAGGGGTGGGATTCTGTGTTCTCATCCTTTTTCCCCTTCCATTCCAGGCCTCTGCCTAGATGGATCTCGGGAGGGGGTAGAACATGCAAGGAGAACTTACCTATGACAAGAAAGGGTGTGTGTGTGTGTTGAAGAATATTTTGAAGTGTTGCTGGAGATGGAAAAGGAATGGAAACAAAGCATCTCTGTGTCCTTGCAGTTGGCTGGAGGGGTTAGGGTGTAACTTCTGAGAGGCTCCAGGCCTTTCATCTTTTTAGAAGGGCAGACATTAAAAAGCTGCAAAGGCAGACCCATGTGGAACAGTAGTCTAGCCTTGAGCTCACACTGAGTTCCACATGGCCAGGTCGGTTGGGTTGGGGCACGGTGCCAGTCTCTGAGCTAAGTGAAGCTGGAATGAAGCATTTTTCTGCTGCTGAATTAACTTGCTTCTCCAGTGAGAACAAGAGTCCTGCTGCAGCAGACCGGGGGGCTGAGTATAATGAGCAATGGCTGCAGTTGTACAGTAGAGAGAACAGAAGCCATGCTGGATGAGAGCAGTAGCCCAGCCAGCCCAGTGCTGTTTGCAACAGGGGCCAGCTGCTTATAGGGAAGCCCACAAACAAGGCCAGTATCCTTTTTGAGATGCAGCAACCAGAACTCTACACAGTATTCCAGATGTGCTGCACTAGGTACTTGTACGAAGGCATTTCAAGATGGATAGTTTTATTGGACTTCCAGGGAACATGGCAGACCTGAAAAGGAGCACTTCTAGAGGCTCCAGTCTTATCTTGTTGTGTGTTAGCTATGCTGCCATAAGGGTTGGGGGTGGGGTGCTAACTTGCCAGGACTGCTGCATTCCTTTTCAGCTTCTGTAATGCTTACTTATCTATGGCCTTGCAGGTGGGGTGTTGTGTCTGGGATTCTAGGGAACCGTGGGAGCGCTTTCGGTTCTCAGCTTCGGCTCTAACGGCCTGGGGCTCCTTCTCCCGCGTGCGGGAATGTGGCTAATTGGCCTAAGGATGGGTGTGTGTGCATACGAATACCCCATATCCCATTATGCTTGTAGGGGTGACGCCATTCTTAACAGTGCCTTTGTTAATGCATCTATAGCTCTTCAATAAAGTATAACCTTTCCGTGAAGCGTGTACTCAGTTGTTGGCTGTGGAACCTGACATTGTGGGGCAAAGAACCCCAGGGAAGGATGGGATTTATTTCTCTGTCCTTCTGTACAGGACACCACAAGTTTTTGGAATGCCATTGTCATGGGTCCTGGCTCAGCCCAGGCTGGCTATTCCTCAGACAAAGAAAAGGGCACGGAGCAACCCAAGCCTCCCCCAAAGTCAGCCCAGAAGAGGAACCTTTGCCAGCACCTGAGGGAGAAGAGGCTCCAGCATCTGTGCAGGAGGGGCAGCAAGGCGAAGAGCCTAAGGTGCAGGCAGAGGAAGAGCCCACTCCAAAGCGTGGCCCAGCACCCCCAGTGGGAGACTCCCCGAGGCCAGAGTCCCCACCTAGCTCACCTGAATGCCCCCGATGCAGGGCACACCAGCCTCTGGATGTGCAGGAGAGAAGGAGGAGTGCCAGACTTCAGCTGTTGCAAAGGCAACATGAGGGGCCGTGAGTCTTTGCAGGTCGCCTCCCAGGGAAGGGAGGATCCGGTTATAAGCAGCTCCAGCTGCCTGCCTCCGCTCCTCCTGAGAACTCTGATTCATCTCCCGGCATTCTGACCTCTGGCCCTGTCTCTCATCTTGGTTTGGACTTTGCATCTAGCTTGAGTATATTGTGTTCATGGGGACCGGCCAGAGCCAGCACAGCCATCTTGTTTATTAAGGGAATTCAGAATGTTTGTTTTCAAAGTTGGTTGTTTTTTGTTAGTCTTTAGTGGAATGGCACCCTCCAGGAAATTGGCACAAGCCAAGGAGGGGGGCTGGCAGAACAGGGTCTGTAAGTGGTGGGATAAGGACAAGCAGAGCTCAATTGGCCAGGCAGTTTGGCTTTGACACGCACACAGAGAGAGCAACGGGATTGGTTTGGTTTTCAGGTCGACTGGAGTAGGGACAGACAGGATGGAGTTTCCAGAGGTGTTGAGAATACTTAAGATGACAAAGCAAGAGCTGCAGGATGAGTGTAAGAAGCAGAGTAGAGACTATGATGATAACAGCAGGAGTGTGGAGGAGATGAGGGTCCTCCTAGATGCTGCCAAGTCCACAAGGGCAGCTGAGCGCCAAAACCAGCAGGAGATCCAGCTCAAGCAGCCGGAACTGGAGCAGATGCGCCTGCAGGCAGAGAGGAAGTGTTTATCCAGAGGGTGGAGAAGTGGAGGCTGGAGAGGGAGGAGGAGCAACGCCAACGTGACCTCGAGATGGCACCCTAGAAGGTGGGCTAGGGGGAAGAAAGGGTCTCTGGGGGGGACACCTGCTGTTCAGCCACCCAGGGGGAGGAGGTGGCTTAGGTGCAAAGGGGGGCCGGATCACCCAGGAGGGGGAATGCCAACCCACCTCAAACCCGGGGGGGGGGTGTCGCTTTCCCCAAGTGCAGCAAGGAGCTGCGGAGGCAGCGGTAGAGAGTGGAGATTCCACAGGAGTTCCTGAGAGAAGCAAGACTAGGATGGGCTCGGAGGAGCACACAGCTGAGCACGAGGGGGGATGGGAGTGGGTCCTGGAGGAGGTCTGGAGTGACCTTAGGTTGTAGCCGGTTCACCAAGTAGCTGTGGATCAGGAAGTGGGATTCTCCGAGACTCTCAGAGAAGAAAAAGGAGAGGAGACTGGATTTGTACCCGCCCTTCATTTGAGGTCTCAGAGTGGCTGACAAACTCCTTTCCTGAGAGAGCTCTTCCAAGGACTGTCCTTGAGAGAACAGCTCTGAGAGAACTATGGCTTGCCCGGGGTCATCCAGCAGCTGCATGTGAAGGAGGAGTGGGGAATCAGACCCGGTTCTCCCAGGCTAGAGTCCGCGCACTGAACCGCGACACCAAACTTCCAGAGCTGGTTGTCTGGAAGCAGGGAAGCCAGGAGTCCTGGGAAGTAGATCGGAACTGAGTGTCAGAGAGTTGGCTCAGGAGGGCGTTCTGTGTGCAGGGCAGCTGGGAATCAACGGGGCTCGGCCAAGGCTTCTGTTAGGTTCTTTTGGGCCCAGGTTAGCACAGGGTGTGAGTCGGTTGGGTCTTGCCAGAGAGCGGGCGAGAGTGCGTGCGCAAGGTCAGGGTGCCTGTACCGTCTCCTATTCCAGGAGAGTCTGGGAAGAGGCGCGGGGGCTGCTGGACGTTGGAAGGGACAAGTGGAGATTTCTGAGGCTAAGGAATAAGTGACTGATGGTGTCTTGTGCCTTAGAGAGCGGCTGAAAATGGTGAGTGTTGGGGAGGCTAAGGCCAAAGTGAATCAGACAAAACAGGCTGGTCTCTGACTTCTGAGCTTGGTGACCCGGTGACAGTTTTTTGGCCTTCATATCCTGGCAAGCAGCTCATGTCCTTTCGGACTGGACGGGCAGCATCAGGTGTACTGTCTTCCTGGAAAGGCTAAGGAAAATGACCAAGGAGGTTCATACGAACAGGTGGAAACCTGATCTTGACAGGGAAATGTCAGTGCAGAGTGTGACAGAGATGGAAGGAGGAACCGAGGAGCCAGATGGAACTTTAGCAGTTGTCTGGCCTCAGTCTTCTGAACTGACACAGCAAGGGAAGCTGGACTGGCTAGGAAACTGGTGCTTTCAAGGCAGAGAGAGAAGTTTTTAGAATCATAGAGTTGGAAGGGATCTCCAGGGTCATCTAGTCCAACCCCCTGCACAATGCAGGAAATTCACGAACACCTCCCCCCACACACACACCCTCAGTGACTGCTGTTCTATGCCCAGAAGATGACAAAAAAAACCCTCCAGGATCCCTGGACCAAACTGGCCTGGAGAAAAATTCCTTCCTGACCCCAAAGCGGTGATAAGCGTTTCCCTGGACGTGTAAGAAAGGGCCACGAGAACTAAGCACTGAGGCCACCCGTCCTGCCCTCCCTCTCATGATCTGCCCAAGTGCACAGAATCTGCATTGCTGTCAGATGGCCATCTAAGCCTCTGTTTGAAAACCTCCAAGGAAGGCGAGCCCGCCACCTCCTGAGGAAGCATATGAAATAAGAACTCGGAGTATTTTCTGTACCTAAGAAAAAACTGTTTTTTGACAGAACATACTTGCTATGATCCTTGCACAAGGGCCATGCTAAGTGTGCCCTCTGTGAATAATCTGATTCAACATTGTCCTCTTTTTGTATTTTGTGTTTCTTATTTTGTAATCTCGTTCCTATGTTTTGTAATATTTTTCTTTTTGTAACTTTTGTTTTTTGTTAGAAAAAATTAATAAAACTATTTTAAAAAATATTTTCCATGATCATACTGTTATCTCTACATCCTCATACAGAAAGACTCATTAGATGAGCTAGTCGAGGACTGGCATGGCCGACTCTCGACTGCCATCTACAAGATCGCCCTCTGTGCCCTCACTCTAAGCGGGCTCCATGTTTTACCGAGGAGCTGCGGCTGATGAAACAAGGGCTCAGACGACTAGAGAGATGGTGGCGGCACGCTCGTGACGAAGCAAGAGCTGCCTAAAGGACGTTTATGAGATCCTATGAGATGGCAATCAAAGCCACGAAGAGGGAGTTC